CGTGGATGCCTGCGCGAAATTCGCAGCCGCCCAGATCGATCACCGCTTGGGACAGTCGGGGAGTTGGCGGCGCGCAGACTTCCAGCAGGCCGCGCCGACCGTGACGGGCCAGCAGGTTGACGTCGCCCCCAATATCCATTTTGTCGTCCAGATCGTACTGGTCGATAGCCTGCTGGAAAAAGTCCAGGTCGCTAAGGTTCAGAGCACCTCTCGGCCTCCTTTGCGGGTTGCCTCGGATGCCGCAGAGTCCAGCATCACGGAGGACTCCGACGAGGAGTCGTCCGCCAGCTTGCTCGTAACCTTGATCAGCAGTCGCCTCCACCGCATGTAGATCACCCCGGTCCTGCAACTCCAGCTGACCTCGGGAGTCACTGGCCTTGGAGGCCTGCCAATCGCGGTTTCGCTTCTCCTTCCTTTGCCAATTGCTTCCTCCGGATCGGCGGGCAGACGGTCTGCGCGAAGTTCAGCGAGGGCTTGCTCGCGGCCTTCAGGAGAAACGCGCGGTTCTTATCGCCTGGGCACGAGCAGCTAATCCGCTTGCGACCTGGCTGGCCGCATCATTCGCCCCTCTAAAGGCCATGGGCGCGAGACTTCGCAGCCTGCCCCCGCGTCGCCGTAGGATTTGCCCCATCAGCATTCAGAATCATCCTTGGGCGGCACAAAAGAGAATTCGCGTAGCATGGCCCTGGCCGCGCGCGGAGTCTGGGAAGAACTGGCTGTCGGTGATGGCGGCAGCGTCGCATGTCATGGAATCGCCTCGCGGCCAGCCGGACGCCCCTGCGCTGGCGATGGCGGCGACGGCACAGCCAAAGGCGACGAATCCGTGCCGCGGCAGCATGCCATCCGCCGGATATGTAGAGCTATGGAAAGTTCCTGCCTGTGCGTCTCTTCGAGCCGAAAGTGCTCGGTGCGCGTCCAAGTCGCCAGGGTCGGTTGGGGGGCTCTGGGGAAAATTCCAACTGCTGCGACGCCGGGCTCGACGGATCTGGCGACCTCGACGGGGATTCCGAAATTGTCGACCCAGTCCTCTGCAATCCCGAAGATGTCTCCCGAGATGCCCGCGAAGCTGGCGACCGCTTCGACTTCGCCGGCGTCGTGCCCACTGGAGTCTACGATGGCGCAGAAGTTTCAGAAGCAGCCCGTGGGGATCTCGGGGGTCTCCGCAAAGTGCCCGAGGGGGTCGCATATAACAGAAGAGAGTCATGTTCATCCGGGTCCCTAGGAGGCTTCTCAGCAGCAGCTAGATTCTCCCTGGTGTTGTCCTGGACCTCCCCCTTCTCGGGCTCCCCGCATGGACGTGAAGGGAAAGTTTTTCTCGGATCCGCCAGGGGGTGCTGCCCCTAGCTCTGGGGCGCCGCAGCCTCGTCGGCAGCGGGCTCTGCCGGGCCCGCGGCCCCCGGCTGGCTGAACGCGCCCCCCAAAGCGCCGCAGCTCGCGACCTCTCGGAAACTCGGGAGGTTCCGCGCGATGTTCTGCCGCCAGGTCGGCCGCGTCACGATAGTGGCGAGGTGTCCGCTCGGCATCTTTCGACGCTGGTAGATGTTGTTCGAGATCTGAGGAAGCATCAAGCGGCCGCTCCCACAATCGATCAGAGCGCTGGCGCAGTCAGGTCCCAGGATGTCAATCCCGATCAGCAAGGGCACGTCGTTGTCCACGACAGAGATCTCGATCCCCCCCTGGCCGTCACCACGAAAGATGTCGCCAAACATGGAGCCCGTGGAGCTCTTGCGCTGGCCATCTCCGAACGCGCAGAACCGCGTCGTCTCGGCCAGGTCGAACTTGGCGTTGAATTTCTCCTTCGTGCCATAGGCAGGGAACAGCGCCATCGCGACCCCGATGAGGCCCCGGGTAGCCCCGCAGTCCAGGATCGCCCAGATGCCGTTCGCGCCGCCCAGGAGGAAGACAAGCCCACCCAGCTCGAGGAGCGCAACGGAGGTCGTCTTGTTGGGCTGGGGCTTGCCGCGCGACTTGCCCCTTTCGGGGCAGCCCATGGCCTGGCGTCCGTAGTTGCGGCAAGCCAAGCACATCCTGCGCCCGCCACGCGCAGGTTCCTGGCCTCCTTCAGGGCGAGCTCCGCGCCGCAGCACTCAAGGCGACGCGGGCGGGGCCCACGGCCTGCAGGAGGGCGCGGCGCCAAGACTGGATAGCAGTCCCTGGCCACCTTGAGTCGCCGGATGAGGTCCCTCGCGTCCGTGAAGTTCCGGCCCACCTGCTTGAACTCCGCATAGATGCCGTCCTCGAGTTCGTCCTGGAGCACATCTTCGCCCAGCGTCAGCGCGTCGTCATCGCGCGCCAGGTTCACCATCTGGCCTGCGATGTCCGCGAGCTCCGATCGATCATCGCCGTCGTGGCCGTCGAGTCCCTTCTCGTCCGCCACTCCGTCGAAACCAGCACGCCTGTCCTTCTTCTTGCGGACCCCGTCCAGCTCCTTCAACGCCTCCATCAGGTATCTGATACAGAGCGCCTCGTACGTCTTGTCAAAAGTCGTAGTTGCCACCCGCCGTCTCAGTGATCTCCCCGC